TGCTGGGGGAGGGAATCGGGTTTCTGCGAAGGGTTTGTTGTGACCGAGAGGGAAAAATAATCCGGTCTCCGATTGCTGCCAGCGCCCTGGTTCCTTCGGAGCCCTGTTGCCCTTCGGCATGGTTGGTTTGCTGGGCCTCTCCCTGAAGTGCTTTTATCGACCCTTAGCTATGCAGCTGAATTTTCTTCCCGGCCCCGTGTAAGACTGTATCTCACAGGTTTCCTGGCTGCGTTCCCCAGGTAACGTTGTGGATAGCCAGTCGCCCAGGCTGTTGGCAAATCAGCTGAGATGGGACCTGACTGCCGAACAGATAGAAAACATGGCTGCAGAGCTCACGGAGAGGACCAAGCTGGTGTACGACCGGGTGGGCTCCCAGGAGCAGGGCGAGGTGTCCTACGAAAACACTCTCAAGGCGTTGGCAGATGTGGAAGTGGAATATACGGGTACGTACACTGAGGGGCCTACTGGCTTTCTGGCTATCAACGTCTTATTAAGATATTTTTGGTGTGGTTTTTTTTTTTCTCCTCTGTATGGTCATCCTTTTTCTTCTCTTGGCTCCCTCAGCAGTATGGTTTGGCTTTTTTCCAGTTAATGTTTATACAGCTAGATATAAGTACAAAAGAAAGTAGATTTGGAACGGAAGAGCAGGTCTGAAACGAGGACGGCGCTTTGGCAGCAGGATGGACTGCGGGAGGACTAGTCAGGTTTTCAAGGTTGTCTCCTGCTTTTATGTGTCAGGGTGCATTAGCGGGAACGGATTGTGCATTAGCAGAAGTGGTTTGGATAATCTAAGAAATCTCCAGCTCTTTTCTAACTTCTTTTCCTAAGACAGAGGTGAAGTGTCTCCCCGTGTGCCTTGTTTAATCATTGACAGCATTTTAGGAACTGTGTGTAAAGTAACATGACATGATGGCATCGCGCTGGCAGACGACACCAGCCTTGATGTACCTCTGGCTAAATATTTACCGCAGCAGAGTGCCAAAGTCACGCAGCCCCCGCCTGCCTCACGGCATCTGTGAGCTGTCCTCACCGCCCGAGTTGCGAGTTGCCGTGTCTGTGTGAAGCAGGAGCCAGCCTGCAAGCCTCTTCTTTCTTCTCTCCGATTTCTTTTTCCTAAAATAAGAGGAGAAACCCTTACTAAGCAGAAGTGATGTTAGCTTCAGCAGAACTGTCAGCGCTTTTCCTGGGCAACAGGGGGTAGCTGCCTGCTCACCTTCTGCTAGGTGGAGGGTTCTGGTGCCTGGAGGGCAGCACCTTCCTGCTGGAGCTGTATTATTTGAGGTTTTGCAAGGAATGGTCTCCCTGCTTTCACTTCCGAAGTGGAAATAGGTCAGCATGGATCCCGCCTGGGACGTGTTGCCTTTTGAGGAATGCCTGCAGTAAAGGTGTGTCCCTTTCAGCCTGACGCAGAGACACTGCCCGTGCGCCTGCCGGCGCGGAAGCTCTGTGATTCCTGAAGCTGTTGATACCAGCTCTAGCGGGGGCAAAGACCTTGCATGAAATTCATGCGAATTTTGTGAGAAAGACGGGTTCTAGTGTGAACTCAGTGGCCAAATGCTCTCAGTAGCGAGGAAGGGGCTCTGTGGGTGTCGGAGTGCTGCTCAGAGAGGACTGCTCTGGGTGTGTCTGGTAGCAGCAGCTTGCTTTGCTCTTCCTTGGTGTGGGCGGGCAGGTCAGGCTGAAAGGGCTGTCAAACTGGCTCCCAGTTAACACAGGCTCTCTGTGCGCACTCCCACTCACCAGCAGCTCTGGGACATGAAGCCATGGCCTTTGCCGTAATCCCTCTTGTGTCTTTCCAGTCCGTCGGAACATGCTGGACTTCCCCCAGCACGTCTCTCCTTGCAAAGACATCCGCGCGGCAAGCACCGAGGCCGACAAGAAGCTCTCGGAGTTCGACGTGGAGATGAGCATGAGGCAGGACGTGTACCAGAGGATTGTCTGGCTCCAGGTGCGGGCTTGGGAGGGTGCTGTGTCAGCGACGCGCCTGAGCAGGGCCCTGAAACCCTTTTCCATTGACCCAGAACTGTAGCAGTGAATGGTATCGAGTCAGGTTTGGAACTGAATTAGTCTGTGAATGTGGCAGAGCAGCCCAGCTGCTAGTGAGAACTGGGGACTTGGGGTTTGCGGGCTCTGCCCCCTCTCAGGTCCTCAGTTACCCATTTGGTGAGGTGGTGTTGGCAAACCCAGCCTGTCTCCCACGGGGAAGGGGGGCATAAGGCCCTGAGAAGGGCTGTAATGCAGCATCAAGGTGCTGTGTTGAAAGCAATCCAGTTACCAAAGCCTTCCTGTAGGGTCCTCCCTTCTGCTTCTGGGTCACTGGTATTGCAATAACCCACAACTCTGCCTGTGAAGCAGCTTTCTGCAGCACCTGATCCTGCAGTTCCCTGTGCCGATGGGCTTTGTTTTACAGGAGAAGGCAGAGAGCGCTTTGCTGAGGCCTGAAGCAAAGAGATATCTGGAGAGGCTGATCAAACTGGGTAAAAGAAACGGTCTCCATCTCCCTGAGGAAACGCAGGAGGTGAGATCGCAGAGCTTAAAGTGCGTGCACATGGAGGAGTCCTGGCAGGGCTAACAGGACAGTGCAGCATTAGAGAAGAGGACTGAGACTCAGACTCTTGAATTTTGCTCCTGATTCCTGTGACTGCAGGTCATGTCTCCATGCCCCTCTTTGTCATTTCTGCTGAAAGGCGTGACAAAGTGGAGTCAACATTGGGAGCTGAGGGGCTCCTGAGAAGCTGAAATTGCCAATGGTGCTGGGCAGGGATGGAAGCAGCACCTGGTCCCCACATGTGAAGGGACAATCAGGGGAGGTGTCCCCTGGAGCTGGGGTCCGGGGGAATGGGCTGGGGGGAGCTGAGCTGCTCGAGGTCTCCCTCTCTTACCACACCGCAGTGGCTCAGCGAAGGAGCTGGAAACTGGGTTAAAAATAGCAGAGAAGGTGAAATGAAATAAGGGTAGAGGAGGTTGTTGCTTCAACACCTGCAGCTGTGGAGCTGGCAGGAGGCGGCTGGGACCTTGCTGAGGTGGCTGCTTCCCTGCCAGGTGTGATCAAAGGGAGCCTGTTCCGGGCTGAGAGCTCAGTGCCTGCACGCAATTAATTCTGCAGCGTTGCGTTTGAACAAAAGCCAAGTGCAGACCGCTGGGTAGCTCGGCAGGCGGGCTGCCGGCTGGAGACGGCCAACGGTGCTGTTTGACTTCCCCCTTTGGGCTGATTTTTCTCTGTTCATCTGTGTTTTAAAGAAAATCAAAGCTATTAAGAAAAAGCTGAGCGTCCTTTGCATAGACTTCAACAAGAACCTCAACGAAGACACCACCTTCTTGCCCTTTTCGAAGGAGGAACTAGGTACGGAGCGCTCAGGCTTATTTCTGTGCTGGTGTGGCCCTGAGTGCCTGGAATCCTCTAGCCAAGGAGCAGGAAGAGCCTGTTCCTGTGCTCAGTCCCAGAGTTGATATTTCTTTTTTCTCAGGGGGGCTCCCTGAGGACTTCCTGAACTCCCTGGAGAAGACAGAGGATGGCAAGCTGAAAGTCACCTTGAAATACCCGCACTATTTCCCCCTCCTGAAGAAGTGTTACGTGCCTGAGACAAGGAGGAAGGTGGAAGAAATGTTCAACTCCAGGTGCAAAGAGGTAGGTGGGCCATGCTGCTTGCCAGACAGGATGCTAAGTCAGGTCCAGGTGCTGAATCTCATCTGAGATTTGTGCTTCCTTTCTCACCCCACTCTTTGGGTGACTCTACCTTGCAGGAGAATTGCTTGATCCTCAAGGAGCTGGTGGATCTGCGTGCTCAGAAAGCCAGTCTGCTGGGCTTCAACACGCACGCGGACTTCGTGCTGGAGATGAACATGGCTAAAAGCAGCAAGACAGTGGCCACGTTCCTGGGTACGGCCCTTGGCTGCAGAGGAGAAGAGCTGGGGCGCGTGCTGGGCTGGGTGGGCTGCTCTGGGCCCCAGCACTAACCCTCCCTGCCTCCGTTTTCCTAGATGAGCTGGCCCAGAAACTGAAACCCCTTGGGGAGAAGGAACGAGCTGTCATCCTGGACCTGAAAAAAAAAGAAAGGGGGGGAGAAGCGTGGCCGGGAGTGCGACAACCGCATCAATGCCTGGGACATGCGCTATTACATGAACCAAGTGGAAGAGACGAAGTACAGCGTGGACCAGAACCTGCTGAAGGAGTACTTCCCCATGCAGGTGGTCACCACAGGCCTGCTGGCCATCTATCAGGAGCTGCTGGGGCTCACCTTCCACCTGGAAGAGAAGGCTCAGGTCTGGCATGAGGATGTCCAGCTCTACACGGTGAAGGACGGCGCCTCCGGGGAGATCATCGGCAAGTTCTACCTGGACCTGTACCCACGGTGAGGCCTTGGGTGAGGCAAAGCGACGGAAGAGGGCTCGGGGAGGGGGGAGCAGAGCCCGCCCTGCGCTTGGGGACGAGGAGAGGCTGGCCCGTTCCCAGACGCGTGGCTGGCTGCCAGGGGGGGACCATGGGAACGGCTCCTC